CATGCCCATGCATCGTTGCGCGCACGGGCGCGTTGCCGGCAGCTGTTGGAGATCAGCATCGTGGAGTTCGAGAAGTGCGGCCTCCAACGCAACTTGGATCCCGAAAGGACTGACGTCACGTTTGGACTCTGCGGCAAGGGCGCTCGCCGTGCACGTCGAGCTTCAGTGGGCCCTACCACGAAGACGCCTTTTTTGACCACTCCGTCAGGTGACAAACGAGTTGTCGCACCCACGCGTATAAACATGTTGGTACGGTGCGGACCTCCTGTGGCCCCACCCAGCTCGATGCCAAAGCGAAGGCTTCCAAATGACTTCCTGCGCACTACCCCCTCGCGCACAGGTTGTTCGGGAACCCTGGAATATCGCGCGGCAGAGGGCTTCCCCTTGCCCATTTTTCCGTTTCTCCCACCTGCTGTCCAGAACAAACACGCGGCTTGAGCCCACCCCGGATGCAGGTCGGGTTTCGAGCGCTGCCCGCCTCCGCGAGTTTGAAAAGGGGTTGGGAGGCCCAACCAGATGCTTCGCCGAATGCGAAGCCAGTATCCGACTCTGTTGTACCGAAGTAACGATAGCCCCAAGAGCACGAGCGAGTCGCGGAAGCGACGAGCCATGTCAAGCTAATCTGTTTTCGGTCTCGATGGCGAATGGCGTGAATCGCGATGAGGCACACTCATATATTGGCGGCCGGCCGCTTGAGAACAAACGGCCGCGGACGAACGCTCGCCACCTCTTGCCTCTGCCCACCCTCCTTTAGTCGGGGGGCGAGGCGCGAGTCCGCCACCAGGTACACAGCATAACACTATCATACACAAGCTAGGCAGCAGAAGGCGGGAAAAACAAGGCAGGTTGACTCGCGCGCAAGTTACCTTGCACGCAAGTTACCTCGCAGGCAAGTTACCCTGAGGATAGCTACTCCTCCGGCGGCCAGGCGATCTTTTCTGGCCAGCCTTGCATGGAGTGCGCTGTTTCGGGCAATGTTTGAAGGACTGCGTTCCTCCCTTGACTTGTATGAGCTTGATTTTTCCGATGTTCCCATTGGCGAGGCCGTCCGCGGTCATATCGCGAGGGTCACACCACTGTGCACAATGCACGACGCCTCGCTCCATCATCGTCGCAGTCGCATCCAACTGATGCGCCCCAAAAGTGCACACCCAGTCGGATTATTCAGGTCTTTGCTTGACAACGAGTTGAAGACAGATACTGCATCAGTGGTCAATGCGACCTTACTGATCAGGCCGCCCATCTCAATTGTATTATTCAACTGAGTGGGCGTCAGCGGTCGCGCATGGAATTCATGGAGCGCATCGATCGTGGGATAGCAGCATTCCAAGTTGCGGGCCGCTGCAAGTGCTTCCGCAAAATAGCTCGAGCGGACATGCAAGCGACGCGACTTGCATCGCGCGCCGACAAGATGAACGACGGGTTCACCAGCATACGAGCGCCCACGCCGTAGCAGGTTTGCCCCGAAAGTACCGTAGTCTTCGACCTCGTCAGCGGCATCTCCGCTCAGACGCCGGCAGCCGGAGTCGCTGCGCAGGTCGACCTCGCCCGTGAGAGTCATCGCTTGATAGACGATCTTCGTAAACAGGGCTGCAACTGCCTGGAAATCGCGCCCAGCCGTCGCACTTGCGTGTCGGTCGGTTCTTGGACGCTCTGCAGTGATGCAACATATGCCATTAGCCACACATGCGCGCAAAGGGCGCAAGGAAAAGCGCCTCCGAGACTGACACACATGTCGGCCGCCATCTTCGACGCCTTGGCCTTTGCGTCGGCGCCTGTGAGTTCATGATGCTGGATAAGACGGAACTGTTATACATAAATATGTCTTGATCAAGCGTAACATTGCCGCCGTCGCCCTTCGCGTACCTCACCGCACAATTGGCACACGTTTGTTTGTTGAGTTTACAGTTACCAAAAGTATCCTCAACACACTTGACGTACTTGTCGTACCGGCCATGTTCATGTCTTCAACATGGTTGGCTGTAGGAAGATTAGAATTTGTCTCGAACTCCTCGTCGTAGGACGCGGGTCAAAGACCAAACCCCCCCGTGGTCTTCCTGAGCTTCAGCGGAAGGTTGTTGGTGCATCGCTGGTGCCATCTCCTGGTTTGAAGCACTGCAAACACTGTCTCAACCCATCGAATGCTCGAATCCTGGGAGGGATCTGAACACAGATGCTGACCCAGGTGGCAATGAAAAACACGCCACACGTTCGTTTTCGCCCGTTGCTTCAGCAAGTTCCTGATTGGTGAGTCCCTCCAGGAAAGCCATGCTGATGTCGGGGGAAGCAATAAGTCACTGCTTCCTGCACGCTGCCACGCTGGCGACTAGTCGCAGACTTGACCGCCGCGCCGTGCCTGAGAACGTCTCCACATCACCGAAGGACCAAGTGCAGTCCGATGGAGCGCTCCACCTCGCCCTTCTCGTTTTTGACGAACGTCCATGTCTATACGTACCTCGAAGTCATGATGTTTGACGCATTGGATATATCTTGTAGTTTGAAACACTTGTTGTCAAACCATGTTTTGCATTCAATATAGAAGGCCTTCGACACCTTGACTGGATTCGCCTGAATGTCACCCTTCGTGAAAAGGTCGTTCTCCTTGACGACTACAGCTCGTTTAGCTGCAGCGGTCACATATAATCGCATCGTGGTCACACGGTCGAAATCGAATATCCTGTGCTGTTGT